CAAGGCATTATAAAGTGGTATTAACACTTCACATGATCTTGATTCTATCCCCCTGTTTATGCAGTCTAGAACTGTGTTGGCTTTTTTGGCAGCTGTTGCCCACGGCTGGCTCATATTTAAATGGTTGTCCACTAGGACTCCAAGATCCCTCTCACGATTATTATTATTGAGCAAGGTGCCACCTATACTGTACCTGTGCATTTCGGGTACAGTATAGGTTGTACCTTGCTCAATGTTATACAACTATACAATGAGGCAATGAAGCTCAAATATAAATAAAATTCTCAATCCAAGATATAAGCAATAACTTAGTGCTGCCTAAACAAACAGACATCCCATACAACTACTGTGTTTGCACCAAATCAGCTTTCAATAAGCTGCCACAGTGGCGCAGTGGTTAGATTGCAGTACCGCAGGCTATTTCTGCTGCCTGCCGGCTGCCTGCAATTTAGCAGTTCAAATCTCACCAGGCTCAAGGTTGACTCAGCCTTCCATCCTTCTGAGGTGGGTAAAATAAGGACCCAAATTGTTGGGGGCAATAAGCTGACTCTGTAAACCGCTTAGAGAGGGCTGCAAAAGCACTGTGAAGCGGTATATAAGTCTAAGTGCTATTGAGAGAAGGCATACTACACAACCGCTTACCTGTACCCGTTTCGTTTCAGGTTCTGCAATCACACCACAATTCTTAAGATCCAAATCTCCAATACTCCGGGTCATTGCAAGTCTGCCGTTCACATGGGGTTGCCCCAAACTGTTCCAGGCGACGAAGCCACCACACTTCCTGATTCTTTAAAAATAAAATACAGAACAACAGCTACCATCGTGCAGGTTATGTTTCGACAAACAATTCACACAATAATTTTACTCCAAGAATTCTGGCCAATCCTCCCATTTCTACAACTTCAAAAGACATCTCTTTAAAACTGGGGGGAGAAAAATGAAGCCCAAGGGGACATATTTTGCAGAGGTACCTTTCCTTTTCATCCTTCCGTTCTGGAGTATGGTCAATGGTCAGTTTCTCGGCTTTTCCTTTGCGGCATAGCAGCGCACGGCTATCGCCCACACTGGCTACCACCAGCTCAATGCCATCTCGCAGCAGGGCCACCGTTGCTGTGCTCCCAGTATTCAGCAAGGTAGCTATAAATGTCACACAGAGAGAAAGGTAATCAGCACCTGAGCCCCCAAACTTGCCTACGGCATAATTTCTTCAGCTTTAGAACAGCATGAATTCTGCTAACTCCAGTAAAGAGCCCCTGCTTGAAACTATTTAAAGCTCTGAAGACAGGAAAGGATGGAGGGAGCAAAGAGAAACACAACACGGCTTCATGCAAAGGGAAAGGTGGTTATTAGCTAACAAGGCCACAAGATACTAAAATGTACCAATAGCAACAGTGCTTGGACTTACCCACAGTGCTTTAAAGCACTGAGTGGTTTACAAATGTCAGCATATCTGGGTCCTCCTTTTACCGACCTCAGAAGGATGGAAGGCTGAATCAACCTCAAGTAGGTGAGGATCGAACTCCTGGCGTGTAGGCAGAGTTAGCCTGCAATACTGCATTCTAACCACTGAACCACCAAGGCTCTTCAACGTTAAGTTGAATGTTAAGTTATAGGGCACATTTCCCCTCCCAAGGGCATACATCCTATAAAGTCCTTAATTCTTAGAAGACAGAAATAGACAATCTGGGGCTGTAGAGCAGGGGTCTCCAACCTTGGCAACTTTAAGACTTTAACAATTTGGGACCTCATTTTACCCACCTCGGAAAGATGGAAGTCAACCTTGAGCCTGGTGAGTTTTGAATTGCCAAATTGCAGGCAGGCAGCAGAAGTAGCCTGCAATACTGCATTCTAACCACTGCGCCACTCAGCATATTTGAGATTTATTGCCCTGCCGCATGGGAACTAAAGGCAGGAATTTCAAGTTGCTTTGTCAAGGGAGAAGAAGGATGTAATTTGACGGAGCATGTGGTTTCTATGCAGAAGTTAATTGGATCTCCAATTAAAAAGATCTCAATGGTTTGTTATTCCCAGCCTGAATAGAGAATGCTGGGTTTTGGTCGCCAAATAATATGACTATATTGGATCCGCCTTTGAAATGTTCACATGCTACTTTATTACCCTCATTGACAAACCGCAATGGTTAAGTTTAGACAACACACCAAACCCAAGCAAAACAAATTACATTGTGGTGCAGAACTAAGTTCTTGTATTCCATTCATAAAAATCAAAGATTTGGAAGGAGGAATCCATATGAAACCACCCACGAATGAGACACTGTCCATCTTCCTTGTACTAGAGCAGGGGTCTCCAACCTTGACAACTTGAAGACTTGTGGACTTCAACTCCCAGAGTTCCTCAGCCGGCTGAGGAATTCTGGGAGTTGAAGTCCACAAGTCTTCAAGTTGCCAAGGTTGGAGACCCCCGCGCTAGGGCACATATGAACCCCAAAGACTTCCAAACCATTTTTTAGTCTTTTATGGACTCTGGGTAGGGTTACACTTTCCCTGAACAAATCTGAGCTTGAGGGAGGGTCCTTCAGGGCTACCGCTTGACCAGTAGAAGTCAGTGGCCAGGATTTTCTCAACTTGATCAAGTCCATTCGTTGTGGCTCTGTGTGGAACAGCGAGCCTTGGCCGGAGTGACTCATGCTTTTAAGACTGCTGCAGAATACTATACCTGGGGCTGCTTCTGAAAACTGCTTGGAAAGCTACAGCTGGTGCATAGAAGGCAGCTGGGTGAAAGCCACTCTGGCAGCATAGTAATTGCTGTATTGTTTACTGCTTACCAGTAGGTTACCAAGAGCTATTCAAATTACAAATCTGATGTAGAATTTAAATGGAGTGGGAAGAAATAACAAGATACTGTATTTTTCAGAGTATAAGACACAAAAAAGAGGCTGAAAATCTGGGTGCATCTTATACACTGAATACAGCATTTTTTGCCTCCTGAAACCCCGCCCTCTTTACCCAAATGGCCATGCATAACCTTTAGGAGCCTTGCAGAGTGTTCTTGGGGTCTGGGAAGGGCAGAAATGAGCAAAAAATGGCCATTTTGTCGTCCCCCCCCCAGCCCCCAGGAGCACGCTACAAGCCTCCTAAAGGCTATGCATGCTCTTTTTTGACAAAAAACACCCATTTTTGGAAAAACGGGCCATTTTTGGGAGGTCTGCAGAGTGCAAAAACTTTTTTTTTTTAAATTGGCCTCTTCAAAACCTTGGTGCGTCTTATACTCTGAAAAATTCGGTACTCGGGTCCCTGGTTTATTTGAAAGGACTGTATCTTCCAAACAGATTCAATACATCCTGGAGAGATTTAAAAAAATATGCATGAAGCCTTGTTGTGCTATGCAAACTCCACAGGTTCAAGAAACAAAAAAAAAGGAAATAACATTGAGATACATTCCTAGAACACTACTACTCCTCCTATTTAAAACAGGTATTTTAAATAGCTCTTTGATAATGTCCTTGAGTTTTATGTAAGACCGACAATTTCCAGGGAGGTAAGTTTTCTTCCTCCACTGATGCAGGCCATTTATTAATACAAATAATTATTTTTCCTGATTGTTTTTACAGCACATATTTGAGGCTAACTTAATGATGCATCAAGCCGCCCACCAACCAAATCTTACTAGCAAAAAAGTATGCTTATATGATTTCAATGTTTCGTTATTGTGAAATGAAGAGAATGAATGTGCTTTTACAGGCAATCTATTTGGAGTGCTTAAAATAAAGAGAGGTGAGAAAAGAAATGGTGCAAACAGAACTTTGAGACAGGCAATTTGAACCTTTTTTTTTTTGCTCTCCGTAAAATACCTGTTTTAATCAGTGAGTAAAACACTGTGAGAAGACAGTTGCTTTCTTCCCTTCAATCCCCTTCAATGCTTAAAGTATCAGGACCACCAAAAATCTCCCCAGTTGATTCCTTGCTTTTGGAAATGCTGCTTCCAACAATAGAATCCTTTTCTTCCATGGTATAAATCAACAGTCACCCACATATGTTGAACTACCATCTCCTGCAAGGGCAGCCTAGTTAGGGATGATCAGAATAGCAATCGCACTTAAGACTTATATACTGCTTCACAGTGCTTTACAGCACTCTCTAAGCAATGCATAAAGCAGTGATGGCAAACCTTTTAGGCACCGAGTGCTCAAACTGCAAGGCGCATGTGTGAACATGCACGCATGCGCAGCAGAGACCCGAAGACCAGCTGGCTGGCAGGAGGCAGGGCATCCCAACACTGGCAACTCTGCCAGAGGTGAGATCTTTTTCTTTCGTGAGCTTGTGTTTTGTCGTTTGCAGGGAAACAGAAGCTCACGAAAGAAATGCCACTGAGAGCTGAGCAACGGCGCGCATGCCCACAGAGAGGGCTCTACGTGCCACCTGTCGCACGAGTGCCATAGGTTCACCATCATGGGTATAGAGTCAGCCTATTGCCCCCAACAATCTGGGTCCTCATTTTACCCATCTCGTAATGATGGAAGACTGAGTCAATCTTGAGCTGTTCAGGATCAAACTCCTGGCAGTGGGCAGAGTCAGCCTGCAATACTGCATTCTAACCACTACACCCCCACAGCTCCAGAATGGTAGTCCAACATCTCTGAAGGGCACTGGGTTAGGGGAACGTCAGTCTAACTGCTGGACATGTGTAACTAATGGGACTTATTTTTTTCATACGTTTCAGACTGCATGGGAGATCCGAACGTCCTCCATTTAAAGCAGCTGAGAAGAAAATGGCAGATATAATTAATGATTTTGCCACAGAAAACACACTCATATTTTTCAGGGTCAGGATAATGCTTCACACTGACTCTATCAATGGCAATTAAAAAGTATTAATTCTTGGATCAGGGCTAATTATCTGGTTGCATTCATGCATGTCACTAAACCTTGATGCTCCAATTTCTCTTCAAATTAACACTATGAATTCCATTTTCCCTCCTCTCTGAGGTTGCCAATGCAACAGCATTAGGAAATTGGACGACTTGCAATAGGTTTACACATGATGCAAAATTGTTAGATTAGCCATTGTTCACACAATAGTTTAACAGCCTTAAGCCCTAATTTACAAAATAGGCTAAATCGTACAGGTATACAAAACATTCTGAGCAAATATGAACACTGATGTAATATTATGAGACTCCAGCCAATATGTGAAAGCTTCAGAAAGTAAACTATGGATTAGGACAAAATGTGTTGGCTCAGTCTAAGTATACTATTTTTAGAGACCTGTAGGAACTACTCATGGAGCTAACGCATCCACAGAACTTCCACATCACACCCTGTTGTTACCAGGGTTAGACAAGATATCAATGAAGTCCTGGGACCAATATTATGAATGCTTTTTCCAGTGAAACCAATTGTTCTCTTTTTATCACATTTGGGGGAATTTGTTTCAGATAGTATTTTTAAGATCAACTGGGTTGTTTTCAAATGATGAGTTCTTACAGCAGGGGAGTCAAACCCGATTTCATTGAGGGGTGCATCAGGGTTGTGTTTGACCTTGGGAGGTTGGGGTCGGCGTGGCCGGGGTGGGCATGGCCAGCTGGATGTCACTTGTGTCGGGGACGCCTGTAGTGGCCCGAGCTCTCTGCCAGCGAAAACGGGCTCTCAAGCTCTTCCTGCAACCCTCTGCCAGTGAAAACAGATCTTGGGAATGCCACTTGCAGCCATCACAAGCTCCGTTTTCAGCTGCAATAGCTTCCTGAAGCCCTCTGCCAGGGAAAACGGAGCTCGGGAGGGCTGAGTGCAGCCCTCCCGAGCTCCATTTTCTCTGGCAGAGGCACTGAGGGCCGGTCCTTCGCTGTTTCCAGAACGGCCCCTCAGGCCAGATCTAACCACCCCATGGGCCAGATCTGGCCTTGAGTTTGACACCCTTGTCTTACAGGGTCACAAAAAAGAATGGAAATTTCTTACTTTATATGTACCAAAGTGACTTTTCAAAAAGTAACTGGACTTTTTTGGGGGGGGGAGGGGAGGTGTTCCCTTGAAAACTGAAAAAGCTTTTTAGATGAGAAGCAAAATATTTTCAAAGGAGAAAACAAAACTGAAGAAAGTCCAGTTGTCTTTGGGACAACCATGACCTGGATGATTGAGAAATTTCCATAGATGTTTCATATGTACCTATGAAATGAATGCCAA